CTATAGTCTACTTTCTTCCCACATCTCCCATCCCAAGCGGGCCTTCCTAGCACCATTTACTTGGTGTTCCCTTCTCGATCTGAGCTGCCTTTTCCCCCAGCATGTGAGGCAGGCTTCTAAGCCATGGAGTAATCTTCCTAGTACTTATCTCTACTATTCTTGAGTATTAGTCTCCCATTCTGTTACTTTATATTCCACAAATAAGTGCAATCTTTCTATGTCTGTTCCCCTCTTTCTGACTCATTTCATGTAACATGACATTTTCATTGTTGATCCACCTATATGCAAATTTCATGACTTCATCTTTTCTAACAGCTGCATAGTATTCCACTGTGTAGATGTACCAAAGTTTCTAACCAGTCATCTGTTTTCAGGCACTCGGGTTTTTTTCTAGATTCTGGATATTGTGCTGTGATGAACATATGGGTGCAGATGTCATTTCCACTATACTTTTCTGCCTCTCTGGGATATATTCCCAGGAGTGGTATTGCTGAGTCAAATGGGAACTCAACTTCTAATTTTTTGAAAAGTTCCATACTGTTTTCCAAAAGCGCTGAAACTGGTCAGCATTCCCACCAGCAGTGAAGGAGAGTCCCTTTCTCCTCACATCTGCGTCTATACCAGTTGCTTTTGTTCTTTTGGATGTGGGCCAGTCTCTATGCTGTGAGATGATGTCTCCTTGTTGTTTGGATCTTCATCTCCCTGATGATTAGTGATGAGGAAAATTTTTTCATGTGTCTTTTGACCCTTCGGAATTCTTCTTTGAGAAAGTTTCTGTTCATTTAATCGCCCCATTTTCTGACGGGGTTCGATGTTTTCTTCTTGTGGAGTTCAACCCGTGCATTGTAAATTCTTGATATCAACCCCTTATAAGATGAGTATTGGGTGAATATCCTTTCCCATTCTGTAGACTGTCTTTGTATTCTGTTCACTGTATCTTTTGAGGTGCAGAAGCTTCTCAGTTTGAGGTAGTCCCATTTGTTTATCTCTGTTTCCACTTGCTTGGCCAATGGTGTGTCACCTTTAAAGATACCTTTAGCTTAATGTTGTGGAGGATTTTGCTGACCTTGTCTTCAATGTACCTGATGGATTCTGGTCTGATGTGAGGTCTTTAATCCATTTCGATCTTTTGTGATGGTGATTAGGTAGAGGTCTGAGTCCATTTTTTGCATTAGCTGTCACATTTTGCCAACACTGTTTGTTAAGGAGGTTTTTGTAGCTCCACTTAACATTTCTTGCTCCCTTATCAAAGATTAGATGATCATACATTTGAGGATGTGTGTCAGGATATTCAACCCTGTTCCATTGGTCTGCAGCACTGCCTTTGTTCCAGTATCATGCTGTTTTAATTATTACCAATTTTTAGTGGAGTATGAGGTTGGGGAATGTGATGCCGCCCATCTTTTTTTCCCCCAAGAATTGCTTTAGCTATTCATGGGGGCTTTATTGTTCCATATAAATTTCAGGAGTGTTTGCTTCATTTCTTTGAAGAATGTCATGGGTGTCCTTATAGGTATTGCATTGAATCTGTACAATGCTTTGGGGAGTATTGCCATTTTGACAATTTTAATTCTCCCAATCCATGAGCAGGGGATATCTTTCCATTTCCTCATGTCCTCTTTTATTTCATGAAGTAGCATTTTGTAGTTTTCTTTGTACAGGCCATTTACCTCCTTAGTTTAGCTGGTTCTGAGGTACTTGATTTTCTGAGGCATAATTGGGAACGGAATTGCTTTTATCATGTCACTTTCTTCTCTCTCATTATTTACATATAGGAAAGCCATGGAGTTTTGGGTATTGATTTTGTAGCCTGAAACTTCAATATACTATTGTTTCTAGGAGTTTCTTGGTTGAGGCTTTAGGATTTTCTAAATATAGTTTCATATGATCTGCGAATAGTGAGAGCTTGATTTCATCCTTATATAAAGCCCTTAACATCCTTTTCTTGCCTAACAGCTATAGCAAGTACTTCCAGTACTATATTGAATAGAAGTGATGAGAGTGGGCATCCTTGCCTCATCCCTTATCTTAGAGAGAAGACTCTAGGTTCCTCTCCATTGAGGATCATACTTGTCATGGGCTTGTGGTAGATGGCTTTGCCTATATTTAAGAAATTCCCTTCTATACCCATTTTGGCGAGAGTTTTCATCATAAACGGGTGCTGGATCTTGTCAAATGCTTTCTCTGCATCTATTGATATGATTATATGGTTTTTATTTTTCTTCTGTTGATATGATGGATTATGTAGATTGATTTCTGAATGGTAAACCATTCTTGCATCTCTGGGATGAATCCCACTTAGTCAAGGTTTATAATCTTTTTGATGAGTTGTTGAATTCAATTTTCTAATATTTTGTTGAGGATCTTTGCATCCGTGTTCATCTGGGATATCAGCCTGTAGTTCTCTTTTTTGTGGTGTCTTTGTTTGCCTTTTGTATTGGTGAGATATGTGCCTCATAGAAACTGTTTGGGAGTGTTTCTCTTTCTTCAATATCCTGGAAATGCTTGAGAAGAACTGTCAATAGGTCCTCTTTAAAAGTTTGGAAGAATTCACTAGTAATTCATCTGGACCTGGGCTTTTGTTTTTGGGAAGAATTTTGATTACAGTTTCAATTTCTTTGATATTAGTAGGTCTATTCAAGTATTCCAGATCTTCTTGGTTCAATTTTGGGAGATTATAGGAATCTAGTAATTTATCCATTTCTTCTAGGTTCTCTTGTTTTGTGGCATACAGACTTTAAACATATTCTCTGATGATCTTTTGAATTTTTTTGGTTTCTGTTGTGATGTCCCTCTTTTCATTTCTGATTCGGTTTATTAGGGTTCTCTCTCTCTCTCTCTCTCTCTCTCTCTCTCTCTCTGAGCCTACCAGTGGTTTATCAGTGTTGTTTATTTTATCAAAGAACCAGCTCTTGGTTTCATTGATCTTTTGGATTTTGGGGGGTTTCCATGTTGTTAATTTCTTCTTTAAGTTTTGTTATTTCTTTCCTTCTGCCTGGTTTGGGGGTTGATTTCTTATCCTCATGATTTTTAGCACTTTTCACTAGGATTTTTAGCATCCATAAACATCCACCTAGATTCAAAACCTCTGCTACATTTGCTTTTTCTTCCTCAATCTGTGATAAAACATTTGACATAAGTTGAGGTAATAATGGCATTGAAGAATAATCTACTGCATATTTCTAGGATCTAGAAATAAAGGCATTACCCTACTTAATGATACCATTATCTGAGGAAGTGATACTAACATAAATCTATACTCTCTACTAATAATTTCATATTCATATTTCAAGATATCATTCTTTGTGTGGGGGATGTATTAGTCTTCACCCTGCTCTTCTCAGGGTTTAGGGGTGCTCAAGGGACCATATGTCATACCAGGGATGGAATTTTTGTCAATTGCATGCGAGGCAACACCTTAAAACCTATACTACCTCTTTTTCCCCAAAAAAACTTTCTTAAATCTTTGCCTCACACAAAAATCCTATTTAAAAATTCTTTTCATCATGTTGTCTTTTTTGCCTCTTCTGAATTACAGCAATAATCCTGCATTCTAAAAATTATTTTTATGACTTTGAGTTTTTAAAAGTGTTTAAGTCTGTGTGTCATTGAGGCCCAAATTCTGAGGTTCCGTTTTACCTGGATATTTTTACTTTAAGCATGTTTTCTAATAGATTTGTCTGATTCCTCTTGAATACTGCAATTGACAGCTCAAGAGCTTCTATAATATCCCTGGTGGTAAGTTTCTGTAGTCAGCATAAAGCATGGTAATTTTTCTCTGAAATAATAATCCTTCTGACAGATTTCATGTACCACTATTCTAACTGGACCAAAGATAATTTTTTATTCATTAATGTACTTGTCTAGACTGCCTACTTCTCCCAATGTCAGAACAAAGGTAGACAAACTAGTATCCTAGGAGGATAGGTCTCTTGCATCAAATTCCTGGCCAGGTTTGCCAAGAATTGTGAGTGGGGCTCCAAGACTACCTAAACAGTGCTTGAGAACCAAACAAATGCTAAAATATAATTCAAAATTTATTTTTATCATAAAACATAAAGGTAAAGGTAAAGGCCCTCCCGTTGATCGTCGATTTGCTCGAGCGGGCCCAGTAACGTCTCCATTGGAGACATGGCTTAGAAATTTTCATATCCAGTACTTAAAAATGATAAAAGTTTGGGTTTAGGAGATGTAGTTCAGCGGATTGGAATAAATGTTGGGGGACCTGGTTTGATGACAGTTTGATACAGTTCCTTGAATACCACTGGGAATCCAGCACGATATGGTTCCTAAATACCACTGGGAATCCAACAAGATACACCACTGGGAATCCAGCAAGATATGGTCCCCTGAACACTACGGAAAGTTTCCCCAAGCACAGTGCTGGAATAGCTCCTGAGCATTGCCAGGAGGCCCAGAAAGAAAAGAGAAAAGAAGGGGTTATTTAGTAAAACATTTGAGCTAAAAAGATACTTAAATGAGAAAGCTGACAACTGGCATTGAATTTGCTTTTGTTTGTTTTGTTTTGGGACCACAACCGATAGTATCTGGGGCTTATTCATGGTGCTGTGCTCAGGGATCACTTCTGACAGTGCATAGGACACTATATGTGGTACTGGGGATTTGAACCAGGGTTGGCTACGTGCAAGGTAAGCACCTTACCTCCTGTAGTATTGCTATGATCCTAAAAGTACAGTATTATTGCTTATTTGGGGGTCACATCTGACAGTGCTCAAGACTTTCCTGGGTCTGTGCCACTCCTGGCTCTGTGCCACTTCTGGTCACTCCTGGAGATGCTCCCACATGCTGTGCAGGAGATCAAATCAGGTCTGCAGTCAAAGTAAAGGCATGAAGGCCAAGTAACTTACCTCCCATACTGTCTCCCCAACCTTGAATTTACTCTTATTATACTTTTTATGTATAAAAATGGTGATTGTATTTCATTTGCTGTACCTTCCCATGTGCTCTTGGGACTAGCAAATTTTTTTGATTGGTTTCAGGTTGAGAGGATTCAGAATCCATCTCTCTGGAATAGCTACCAGACAAAGAAGAAAACCATGGGTTTCAAGAATAACAATGTAATAAACGAGAAGCAGCTCTTTCATGGCACAGATGAGAACTCAGTGTCGCAAGTCAATGCCAATGGTTTTAACCGCAGTTATGCTGGAAAGAACGGTAAGAGTCATTTGGTTACTCTGACTGAGTTGTCAGCCATGAGAACCCACACTGTGTAGGGAATGTGAATTGTATCAGAGTCTTTCATGGTTGGTGGCCATGTTGCAAACTTCCAGCACCATGTTGACTATTTCAACCCAAAGGGAACTGACTTGGAGTGGAGAAAAAAATGTAAGCCATGCCACACACACACACAAATGCACACACATTTATGAAGACCACATTCAGGAAACAGGGCAGAATAAGCTGTATCAGGAAAAAGGACCCTCTCAATGAACAACCAGAAATCAGTCAAGTGTCTCAGATGACTTTCTTCTGTTTATCACTGGAGGATATCCAATCAACTCACACTGCTGCATTTTTGAAGGTGGGTAACTAAAATACCAGGCTGTTGGCAGATTGAAAGGATGAAAATGTATCCACAGCTGTTGGGAAGTGGAGACCTACAGCGGCATGAGTTACAGACCAAGAAACTGAAGGGTATAGATACACACAAATTTCCAGGACTCCAGTAAGCCCCTTTACAGATGAGGGAGGATCCATGCAACCTTTAGAAGACGTAACTTTGAATTCCAGTTATTTTATCATGCATAGATATGTGAGTACCTTTCCCCTACCCTCAATTATCCAAAAAATTTGAGCAGAGCAAAGTCATTGTGTGAGTGGGTCTGGAAAAGGGAACTGGGACAATAAAATTTGTGATCAAAAAGGTCATCACAATGGAAGAGGGAACTTCAAGGGATTTTATGCCCTGTCCTAAATATTCTGTCCCCACATTCAGAATAGTAACTGATTAAACCCTATCACAAGTTGACCTCTCTCACTAAATATCCAATTTCATGATAACACATGCACAATGCAAAAACAATTAAATCCTATGACAGAATGAATGAAGGAAAAGACTTCAGAAATAAATACCAACAGCACAGAAATTGGATTCTAATGAACTGTTAATTTATTTTATATATTTTTATTGAATCACTGTAAATTACAGTGATTCATGATTATCAGGTAGACAATGTTCCAGCGTCAGTTCTTTTCAACAGTGTCTACTTACCTCTACCAATGCCCCAGTTTCCCGCTCCTCACCCCGCAGCCTGCCTCTATGGTCTGCACATTTTTCCTCCACCATTGTTGTGTCTCCTCTTGTGGCAAGCTTCCTGAGGAAGACCAGTTCTCAGGGTCTTTGTTTCTATTGCCTTTGGCATTTGTTATTCCCTACCATGTTTCTTTATAACCGACACTGAGAGAGATAATTCTGTCTGTCCCTCTCCCTCTGACTCACTTCACTTAGCATGATACTCTCCAGGTTCATCCAGGTAGCAGCAAACTGCATGACTTCATCTTTCCTTATGCCCAAGTAGAATTCCATTGTGCATATGAGCAATTATTTTTTCTAATCCAGTATTCTTGGGTACTTGGGTTGTTTCCAGATTTGGGCTATTATGAATAGTACTGCATTAAATAGGAAGCAAATGTCTTTTCTGCATTGTATTTTTGGCTTCTCGTTATACTCCAAGGAGTGAAATTGCTGGATTGTATGAAAGTTCAATTCTTAGTCTTATTAAGAAATTGGGCAGTGAATTTAATTGAGCTATTTTGAAAATTCTGTAAGATACGTCAAAATTATATAACACAAATCAAATCATATGAAATAGCATGGAATTTCTTCATCAAACGATTGAAACTGTAAAATATTCAAAATTGAGATACTACAATAAAATTGAAAATTACATGAGCATAGTAAGCAGATTCAATTTTCTGAGGAAATAAACTTTGAAATCTAGGATAAAGTTTCAGAAATGATCCAAATGAAAGAGGAAAGAACCAAACGTTAGGAAAAATTGCAATATTTAGCAAATATCCTAAAAGTTTACTGGAGTCCTGGAAATTAGAATTACAGTTATGTAAGAAAATAACAGTCACTTAAGAACATATATAAGATGGTGAAAAGAGCAAAAGCAATAGAGCCTAATTAGAGAAAGAAGAGCAGAAACTTCTGAAAGAACTAATCACAGAAGTGTGAGAAGCTGACATAGTAACCAAAGATCTAAATACAAGTACATCATCTAAATATAAGACACAACATTGTTAATTACAAAAAGTTAACTTAAAAAATGTGAAATGCTTCAAGGAGAAAAATACATGTCATAGAATAATACATAGAATAATCCCAATCAGGCTATATAATATTTTAGTTGATTTCTACATGTAGCAAAGTGTGGAATAGCTTGTTCATTATTCTAATGATAAAAACTACTAGCAATATAAATAAAATATGGTAGGGAAATAAAGTCTTTTGCATAAACATGTATAGAAGAGTATTTTATTGTCATTATACTCGCATTACAAGAAATATAAAAATTCATTCTTTATAGGAAAGGAAAAATAAAACACATAATCTTGTGCAAGTGTTAAATACTAGTAATCAGAAATATAAACAAGAATAAAGTGAAATAATACAGAACTTTAAAGGAGAGGAACAAAGACCATGATATTTTTAGCCTAATGACAAGTTGATACCAGCACAAACAGACTATGTTTGATAAAAGACTGATAAAGTCCTCATAATAAATATAGACCAAAATATTGAATAAAAACATTGAGAAGGGAAAAAATGAATAAATGGAGAGAATCAATAGGAATACAATTCAAGTGAAAGGCAGATAGAAATTCATGAAAAAAATTTAATGTTTGAGGTGCAGCTGACTTAATTCAACCACAGAGACTCCTCTCCCTCCATAAAATAGGGTTCCTAAAGGAATTTCCTCCCATCCTTCAAAAGAATGGGTGGTGTGTGGTGGTGGGAGTGGTGGTGGAATATGGGCCTAGATGTATATGTGTGTGTATATTCCTGAGCTTTCATATATAAAAAAGCCCAGGATTAAACCTGAAGTCATCACTAGGGAATTCAATTTCAAAGAAAATGTAATAATTATTGTTCTCAAATTTTTCCAAAAAAATTGAAGAAACGGAATGATCCAAAACTCATTTAGGAGACAAAGGTTATAAGAAAGAATGAAAGAAAGGAAGAAAGATGGAAGGAAGGAAAGAAGGAAGGAACGAAGGAAGGAAGGAAGGAAGGAAGGAAGGAAGGAAATAACACAGAATGTAAACTATAGAGTGGTATATTTATGAAAATACATGCAAAGATTCTCAAATATTGAATGCTGAATCAAGCAATATCACTTAAGAGACTCAATAAAGATCAGAGATATTAGAATTTATTGTTTGCACATTAGACATCAGACAAGAATATCTGGAATTTATATATATATATATTTAGTAGCACTATCATCTCGTTGTTCATCAGTTTGCTCAAGCAGGCACCAGTAACATCTCCATTGTGAGAGTTGTTACTGTTTTGGGCATATCAAATACAGCATGGGGAGCTTGCCAGATTCTGCCATGCAATATACATACTTTAAATAAATAAAAGATCTTCTGCCTATGAAAAAATTCAGCGCAGAAGATCTTTTATTTATTTAATTTTAATTAGTTTTCTACTACTTTACAGCCATTTTTTGTGGTCTCGGACTACATATAAATACACATATCCTGTTTTTATAATTATTTTAAGTTCCTATTTGTAGGGCATTAGGTCACACCTGGTGTTGCTCAGAACTTACTCCTGGCTCTGTGCTCAGGGATCCCTCCTGGCAGTACTTGGGACCACACAAGAAGTACCAGGATCAAACCCAGTTTTTTAGCAGTGTGCAAAGCAAATGTCTTAATCTCTGTACTATCTCATCAGCTGCTGTTTTATTTTAAATTTTTTGTTTTATTTTATTTTTATAAATTTGTTCACAATAATTACACTTAATATTCCAACACCAATCCCACCACCATTGCACCTTCCCAGCACCATTGTTTGGAATTTTCCCACCACCAAACAAGCCTACCCCAAAGGCAGATCCTAAATAATTGATTTTGTATTGCTTGTTATAAATAATTCGCTAAAATATATCCAAAAAATTTCCTTAGAGAAAAGTGTGTGAAGAACATTGCACCTCACCCTGGAGACATCAAACCCTTGTATTCTTGGCACATTGGTGATGTAGAGAATGAAATGTTGTGCAGTCGCATTGCATGTGAATTCTAAAATTTTAAACAGGGTGATACAGCTGGAGTTAAATTTTTAACTAGATTATTACTTTGGGGTCTAGAGACATCTCTGCAGCTTAATGCTCTCTTCCAGGATTTATCTGTGAGTCTCTGGAACATGGCTGTTAATGAGCTTATTAATATAAACACAATCGTCCTGTTGTTCATCGATTTGCTCCAACAGCAAGCACCAGTAACATCTCCATTGTGAGACTTGTTGTTACTGTTTTTGGCTTATCAAAGACACCACAGAGAGCTTACCAGACTTTGCCGTTTTTACTCTCCGTAGCATACTGGGCTCTCCAAGAGGGTCAGAGGAATCGAACTGGGTCGAACCTATGCAAGACAAATGCCCTACCCACTGTGCTAAAAAGTGTGAAAATTAAAAATATAAAATGGTTCTTTTATATGTGGAGTATATAAGATAAAGCAAACTAGAAAATAACAAAAATCAGTCTGAAAATTAATGATGCTCATCAGAATGGGAAGGGAAAACGGGTGGGAGCAGTGCTATTAGGAGGTTAATTTTTTTCTTTTTTTCTTTATTTTGCCTTTTGTGTCACTTCCAACAATGCACAGGGGTTACTCCTCACTTTTGCACTCAGGAATTACTCCTGGCGATGCTGGGGACCATATGGGATGCTGAGAATCGAAACTGGATTGGTCGCATGCAAAACAAATGCAAACCCGTTGTACTATTGCTCTAGCCCTTACGAGGTTAATTTAACCCTGAAATTGGCACTAGAACTATTGTTCTGGGTTTGGTGAGATTTATAATAGCATATAGACCTGTATCCTAAAAGTTACATGGTATTATCAACCAATAGTAAATGAATAAAGCTCTAACTTTAAAAAAAAAAAGAGGAAAGATGAGAACGGAACATCATTTTATGACTTTTTTCTGGAGGGGGCTTTACTTGGTGATGATCAATGTTTAACCCTGGCTCTGTACTCAAGGATCACTTCTGATGAGGCTCGGGGCACCGTCTGGGGTGCCAGGGATTGAATCCAGATCAGTTGTGTTCAAGGCAAATGTGCTACCTGTTGTACCCCCAAGTTTTTTTTTGACATGTGGGTCCATGTCACTTTACAGGTTAAAATGAAATTTTTTTTTTTTGGCTTTTTGGGTCACACCCGGCTTTGCACAGGGGTTACTCCTGGCTCTGCACTCAAGAATCACTCCTGGCAGTGCTCGGGGGAACAATACAGGATTCTGGGAATCGAACCTGGGTCTGCTGAATGCAAGGCAACAGCCCTACCCGCTGTACTATTGCTTCAGCCCCTACAACGAAATTATTGAAAGTGTCTTTTTTCTCTCTTCACAGCTGTGGCATTTGGAAAAGGAACGTATTTTGCTGTTAATGCCAATTATTCTGCTGATGACAAATATTCTGTACCAGACGTGAACGGAAAAAAGTACATGTATTATGTGCGAGTTCTCACTGGACTCTCCACACTTGGGAATAGCTCCTTGATTGTACCTCCTCCAAAGAATCCTCAAAATCTTACTGATCTGTATGATACTGTCACAGACAATGTGGGAAATCCCAAATTATTTGTGGTTTTTTCTGACTATCAGGCTTACCCAGAGTATCTCATTACTTTTCAAAAGTAACATTTTGGTAACCTTTGAGAAATTATTAGTCTACACATTTCTAGTTGTAAAACAAGTTTTCTCTTTTAACAGCTCTTCCTAAGATTAAAGAATCACAGTCATTGAAATCTTCAGCTTCCCATTTGTAACTAGAATGAACCAGACTTATGATCAATACATTTGACAATGTAAATCAGATACATAGCACTGCATTCCAACACCATGTACCTCACTGTAGCACTGTCCTCCCGTTGTTCATCGATTTGCTCAAGCGGGAAAAAATAGGAATAGTTTTATTATTTCAGGAATAGAGAACAACATTGCAGAAGCCCCTCTCCCTGTCCCATTGCCAAGGGAATATTCTCAAAGATCACCAGTGGATCAGTATCAAACCTTATATACATGGTTTTTCATTATACATAACTATAATAAAGTTTAGTATATAAAATTTCAGATTGACAATAGTAAAACATTGTTATAATAAACTGAAATAAAAGCTCTGTGCAAGTTCTTGCTCCTAGGATCTTCTTATTTTGTATATTAGGATATTTATGGTACTGAGGGCTGGAAGCAGCTGGATAGTGTTAGACTATTAACAATGACTAACTCCAAAGAACACATTAATTTTCTTTTATTTTTAATTGAATCACCATGAGATAAACAGAAAGTTGTTCATGATTGTCAGGTTGTACAATATTCCAACATCCATCCCTTCACCGGTACATTTTCCACCACCAACGTCCCCAGTTTCCCTGCCGTTCTCTCCCCACCCAAACCCCACAGCTTGCCTCTATTGCCTCCTTGGCAGACCCTCTTATCTCTCTCTCTCCCTCGCTCTACCTCTCTCTCCCCCTCCCTTCCTCTCTACTATTTTCCTTTTTTCTTTTAGTTACTGGTTTACAGTATTGTTACTGATAAAATATCATACTTATCACTTTACCTCCTTTCAGCACTCAGTTCTTGTCCAGAATGATCATTTCCAACTAAAGGAATTTATGTGTAAATAAATCTTCCATAACTTGAATCGTTCCCTCTCCCATTTAAACATTTCATAAACCTTTCCTGATTTTATTAACTCCTTTCACCCACACCAACCCTCTTAGAGATAGGAGAATTCAATCTGGACTTTTATCCTTTGATTGTTACACTTCACATGACAGCACATGTTCTTCAAAGACTTCCTCTAACCTCATACACTATTTTGTTGGATATTCTAGTGTTTGAGAGTAATGATTTTATAATGATCCAACAAATAATTTAGTGAAAAAAGTCTATGCATCAAAATAAAGTTATATCTAAGCTTCTGCTTATATTTCTGTTCTTAAGACAGTTTTCCATGCCTCATTACAAGTGAAAAATGCTAAATTTTTGTTTTTAAAATAACATCCATTTTTACTTACCTTTTTAATTTTATTTTTGTTTGGTGGTGGGTGTGATATCAGCGGTGCTCAGGAATCACCCTGTGCTCAGGAATCATTTCTGGTGGTACGTGGAGGCCATATGTGGTACCTGAGACTGAACCTGGGTAAGTCATATGCAGGGCAAGTGCCTTAATCCATGTTCCATCTCTCCAACCCAGCTACTAAAATTTTGAAACATAGTACTGGGAACACCACAAATATAAAATAAAATATTCAGAATTATATCTTAGGTTTGGATCCTGGCATGTCATATGGTGGCCCATGCACCACCAGCAATGATCCCTGAGTATAGAGCTAGGAGTAAACCCTGAGCACTTCAGGGTATGCCCCCCAAACAAAAAAAAATTATATCTTAGTTTTAAGATGCAATTAAGATTATATTTAAAACTATACATGATATAAGTTATACATTTAAAATATGTCAGTTTATAGTTACTTCTGTTACAACTGGTTTTTTAATTCAATGATGTCTTAAGAAAAAGAAATTTCCTTTAAAAAATAGCTATATGAATGTCATTACTCACTGAAGCAGCTTTTGGACTTGCTCTTCAAACCCAGGTTCTCTCTTGAACATGTACCTTGCTTGCTTGTCTCCGTGTCTCTCTGTTTGCTCCTCTGTGTTCTCTCTTAAACACATATTCCTTTAGTTCTCCTGTCTCACACCTTTCTAAATAAATTTCATCCAATAAAAACCAAATTACTTCATGCACCAGGTTCCAAAAAGAGCCGAGATCACCGGGAAGTCCCAGATGGGGTAGGTGCCACATCCCGCCTCCTCCAGATGGAACCCTGGTGACCATGAGCCTCTACAAGCATAGCTCGAGTATGCAGGAACCAGGACCTTTACTCCAAACCACGCGGCAGCTTACGAAGCTGCGCGACATCTCCCTATATACAAAGTAATCAATGCAAAGTAAATCATCCAACGTTTCTCCCTGAAAATCAGGCTTAACTCTTATACAAACGACAACACCCAATAGGAGAGAGAGAACAAAAGGGAATGCCCTGCCACAGAGGCAGGGTGGGTTGGGGGGGTGGGGGGTGGGAGGGATACTGGGATCCGTGGTGGTGGGAAATGGTCACTGGTGGAGGGATGGGTAAAAGTAAAGAAAAGTAAAGGCCCTCCCGTTGATCATTGATTTGCTTGAGCGGGCCCAGTAACATCTCCATTGGAGACTTTCTTGTTACTGTGTCTGGCATATCGAATACGTCACGAGGAGCTTGCCAGGCTCTGCTGTGCGGGCGAGATACTCTCGGTAGCTTGCCGGGCTCTCCGAGAGGGGCAGAAGAATCGAACTTGGGTCGGCCATGTTGGCTGCGTGCAAGGCAAACGCCCTACCGCTGTGCTATGGCTAGGCTGGAGGGATGGGTATTCAAAATAAATTAATTAACTAAAAATATGACTAAATAAGTGCAATAATGAATAAATATCTACCCCCAATGGAAAAAAAACATATTACTTCAGTATAAAATTAAATTAAAAAATAAAATGTGAAATCAATATAAATCCCAGCTCACGATGTTAGTTGAAAATCGTACAATAATTCCCTTCTTGTTTCTTGTTTGTTTGCAGGGGGTATCATAATGGTGTTTCTCAGGGCTTACTCCTACCTCTGTACTCAGGGATCTCTTCTGTTGGTGCTCAGGAGATCATATATGTCGCGGGGAATCAGATCAGAGTTGACTGAATGCAAGACAAGGAACTTGTCCCCTGCTATAAGAATTTCAAGAGTTGATTTTGCAGGAGTGGAGACACTGGGCTGTGCACACCAGAACTCCTCAGCTTCATTATCTGAAATTACACTAGAATTTGTCCAGTAGTGCATAATTCCATCAAACTTTGTTTTTACGTAAAATAACCATCATCAACAAAATCCAGTTTTTAAAAAATGGATTTAGTGTTAATTTATTTGTTTCCTCAAGATCTCCTACAAAAAGAAAAAAAAACGAGGAAGAAGTTGCTCAATTTTTGCTGAAGCAACATGGTGTTTGTTATTTCAGTCACTACATATAGTGCTTCATTGTCTGAGACAATTATTTCTTCAAGAAAAGTTTGGTAAAAATTTTTTTTCTCAATTTTATTTAGGCTATCAAAAGCATATAGCCTTTCTTTAGCTGATGCTGTGTTCATCCAGTCTTTTCATGAAGGCACTAAATTTATTTAAATCATTAATAACTAAGAAATTTAGTTGATGACTTTGAAAACAAAGAATTTAAAATTTACCTAATGCCTTGCAGATTTGTTCAAAAACATCACAATGTTCAAATACATCATAAAGATCCGTAATAGCATAAGCTCTCTTTTTCAAAAAGTTAGAGAATAGTGTTAAAGTAACTTGCATGAGATCGTCAAGCTAATAAGAACCACAGTCGGAGAAATGCAAATCAAAAGAATAATGAGCTATCACCTCACACCACAGCGACTGACACTCATCAAAAAGAACAGCAACTAATGTTGACAAGGATGTGGGGGGAAAGGGATCATCATTCACTGCTGGTGGGAATGCAGACTGGTCCAGCCCAGCCTTTTTGGAAATTAATATGGACGGTCCTCAAAAAACTAGGAATTTAGTTTTCTATGCACTCTAGCAGTTCTACTCCTGGAAACATACCTTCAGTTCCTGAACACAATTGAACGTCTATGTTCATTGACATAGACGTTCATAGCAGCCCTATGGACAATAGCCAAACAACCTGGAAACAATCCAAGTAAATGCTCAAGAACAAATGAGTGGATAAAGCTATGGCATAGCTATGAGTCTAAGCAGGAAGATTCCTGAGCCACATATGCACTGCTGCCCCAGCACTGGCTTTCTGTTCAGGACCTTCTGAACAGATTTTTTTGTTTGTTTGTTTTTTGTGAGGATGCACTCCTGGCAGTGCTCAGCACTTACTCCTGGGATGTATGTAATGCCAGGGATAAACCTGGGTCAGCCATTTGCAAAGCAAGCACCCTACTGGCTGTATTATCTCTCTAGTCCTTGAAGTACCTTTAAAAAAGGTAATTTTGAACCGCTATTGACTGCAGGTAATGGAAATCATAGAGAAATAAACCATGCATAATGGAAGACTCTTCTAGTCTTAAAGTCAGAATGCAATCTCCCAGGCAATCTCCCCTTCCCATGGAGACACTGCTGGTTTTCTCAAGTTAGAAGGCAGATTGCTGTGGGTAGCACAGTACTAGTGACTACTGCTGCTACTCAGTGAGAATGGTGTCATACTCCTATGTTTTTTCTCTGCTGATGTAAAATGTGTCCTGTTTATCTTAGTTTACTTCCTTCTGTTTGGGAGCATTAACAATCAGTATTGCAACAGTAGAGCTCCCTCTACAGACAGCCTGTTCAAATATATATGATTTTAGCACAGTGATGTCGCTGTTGTCCCAAAATTTCGAACGGGATCGGACCACCGTCTCCTTCGTGCAAAATTCTACTTCACAGAACGGGGAGAAAGGGCTGCAAAGTTCAAAAAGAGAACTCCCAGAACGACCACCAACTGGGAACTCTTTGGTACTATTGCGGCAACATGGGAAGATGCCATTGTTGACAACATTGACGAGGAATACGATCGACTGGTTCAGCACCTCCATGAATGTGCGAG